GTGCTTTTTCACCTCACCCCTCCTGAGCAACCAGATCTCCTAGGCCCTGCCCACCTGAGCCGAGATCCCTGGGGAAGGCTGCGGCAGGCATGGGGCAAAGGAGTCCCAGTGTGGGGGACCACAAACATGGCTGAGCCTGAGGCTGAGTCCAGGCAAACTGCCCTAAATCCTCTCCCTGTTACCCCCTGGTGAACCCCAACCACTAACTGCTTTCACAAGAACCTCCATCTTCAAAGGAAGGGTGAGGCCTCTTTGGGTCCCCCTTCTCTGAGTGGCATGTGCCCCTGAGCAGATGCTGTGTGGGGCCTCCTAACCCCATTGGGGAAGGCTGGCCTGGGAAGGGTTGCCCAGGCAACCAGCGGCAGCTCCTCCCAGGGCCTGCTGTGGGTGTGCACGTTGCCTGGCAACCAGGTGGTGGCGTCCCTTGAGCCCAGACCACACAGCTGCGTCCAGCCCTGCTTGGCTACCCCTGGGCCTGCAGGACCTCTGGGGCTCTGTCCTTATTCCCCAAGACCAGGACGGCTGGCATCTCCGGTCACAATGAACATTGTTCTCTCCAGGTGAGTGGCTCTGGCTGGCCGGTCCAGGAGGGAGGTGGAGGTGGGATTTTGGGGGCCTGCCTGAGGCACCAGGAAAGATGAGGGCAGTGGGGACTGCTTGGTGGGGTTGGGGGTAAGGTGAGCTGTCCCTCCCACACCACCCCCACCTCAAGGTTAAGGGAAGACAGGGCTTGGGACCATGGAGGCTTCCAGAATCTGGTCTCTGCTTCTCCAGCAGTATTGCCCACAGCTGTTGGGTAGCAGAGTCACTGGGTCCCTTCCCTCCATCCTTCACTCACATCCACCTGGGAAACCCCCTTCACGCCTCAAGTCCCCCTATGGAGCCCCTGCCCACGCTACCACCCCTGACTCCGCCACTGCTCTCCCAGCTCGCCTGCCCTTCCCTGGTGGTTTGCACAACTGGTTCCTCTGAGGGTCGCAAACTCCAGGGTGCCTCCAGACCCCCCAATGTGCTTCTTTAAAAATGCAGTTTCCTGGGCTTGCTCACAGAGATTCTGGTTCACAAGCCTGGAGGACGGCCAGGGAAAGTGCATGCTTACCTTGTGCCCAGGCGATGCTGGACACAGCTGGAGGAACAGAGACTGCAGCCAGCCGTGTGACCTTTAGCAAGAAGCTTCACCTCTCTGGGCTTTGGTTTACTAAATTTTAAAATGGTGATGATAACAGTATCGTACTTACGGGATAATCCCTACAGTGTTTTGCAAACTGTGAAGTGCTGCATGAGTTAGGATTTGTTAGGAGGAGGACAAGGGGCTGCTCCTCAGAGAGTTCCCCACTTTTAGGATGGGATTGGAGGGAAAGGGAGAGAAGCAGGGACAGTGACAAGTGGGGATGAGGGACAAGGAGAGGGCACAGAGGGCCCAGGAGGGAGGGCAGATACTGAGGCTGTGCCTCCCTCGCTGTCTTGGGGAACTCGATGCAGCGTGTCATGCACTGTCACCTCCTGTGGGTGGGCGCCAGTCTAGGAACACACACATGGGTCAGCAGGCTCCCACCCCGAGATGTGGAGGGCCCAAGACACCAAGTGTGCTGTGAGGTGACTGATGCTGTGCACCCCAAAAGCTCAGGGGAGGGCAGGGGCAGAGGAGGAGCAGGTGGAGCACACAGGGTGTTTAGGGCAGTGAAACTATTCTGGGATGGTGGACACGTGACATCATGCATGTGTCAAAACCCATAGAATGTGCAGCACCAGCGTGAACCCTCCTGTAAACTATGGACTTTAGTTGATAATAATGTGTCAATACCAGCTCATCGATTGTACCAAACAGACCACACCAATGCTGGGGAAACTTGGGTGGGGAGGGTATGTGCAATCTCGCTGTACTTTCCACTCAGATTTTCTTTAAATCTAAAACTGTCCCCCAAAAGCTCATAAACTAAGGGAAAAAAAGGTTTCATGGTTCAGAGAAGGGAGAGAATTTGGGCAGCGTGGGGGAAAGGTGCACAGGGGAATTTCAGAGGGCAGGGCCCTAGCAGCTTGGGATTGTGGAGTAAAGAATGACTCAGCTAGGAAGAGAAAAGCCCCTTCAGAGGGCCCAGGTTTGGTGCCAAGCCCACCTGCATTCCTGCCCTATCACTGACCAGCCCAGGCAGGTCTCCCTCACCTGCCTTGATGAGCCCAGTGCTGTGTCCTTCAGTGCCACCCTGGGGACCAGGTACCTGGCCCATCCTCCCATACAGGAGAAGGCTGGGTGGTGGTGGCTCCCATGATCATGACAGTATCTGCTCCTGGCGTGACCAGGCTGCAGTGTCCTTGCCCAGAGCGACCGCTCAG